AAACTCCCCAAACATTGACCTATTTGATGCATTGTAAAGCTCCCATGTTAAATGTGAGATAGGTTCACATAATATGTTATATTAGCTCACTGCTGATCTGTAGTATATGTGAAATGAATTTATATTTGATTTTTTTGTATTCTGTCCCTTATTTTTCCTTTCTCTCTCTGTCTCCCTCTCCCTCTTTCTATCTTGCTCTCACTATTCCCACCCATAGAGAGAAGAAAAGAAAAATCTATCACTATTTTAACAATGCTTTATTGTTAAAAAAAATATTCTATGGGAAATCATGAAAATACATAAATATAGAAAGTTACATTTTTCAGGACACCAACACTAAATAGACTTGTTCAATAGAAACTACATCAAAAAGTTAAAAAAAAAAAAAAAGCTTAAAAACTGTGAACTTTTATAAGCTACAGAGAAAACACTTCTTGTGTTTTTTTTCCTACCGTTTTTGTTAGAGTTGCTCTGCACACATAAGTTCAAGGGTGTATGTGAATGAAAGGAAAGGTAGTGAAAGGAAAATTAATTGAACATTTATAGGCCTCAATACGGATTTTATTTCCAGAAGGGTCAATTGGCTAAGTTAATTTGCTCAGCCCTAGTAATAATGTGTTAGTGAGAGAGCATTCGATGTCTTTTACTTACTGAAAAATATGTCAAGCTCAAATAAAATATATTCTGCTAAACTATTCTACTTTATTACAGTTTTTCTATAACACTTTCTATGATCTATTAAGGTATTTTTGAATTTTTTTTAAAAAAATGCACTGTATAAAATGTAACTGTTAAATACACAATTTATACAACATAAAATCTTAAGTTTTTATAAAATATGAAACCAATGTAAATCATATTAGGATCTTAAGTGAAAATTATTCTCTGTGGTATTTAAATATTCTGGTAGTACCTTAGGTACCTTTGCCTGAGAACTAAAAATCAAAACTGACCAGAAGAAATTAAAGTGAAACTGCCTACTCTGTATTCATTGTCTAAACTCTACTGTGCATATTTTGTTAAGTTTCCAATCAGTTCTTTTTGAAAGAAAAAAATTGTTTTGGTCTTTGAATAATTGAGATTCTTTCTAAACAGGCAAATTCTTACAAATTGATTAAGTTAGTATATCATTAAGAATCATTCTGATAAAACTTATGTTCATGCCATTTTAGACTACTTCAGCTACACAACCTGTGATATGAAAATTCTGTCATGTCAAGTTTTTATGGGATGGTGTTGGTAATTATTTATTTGCTAATAATGTTGCTAATAAAATACGATAATGAAAATATCATTAGTGAATAACAAATTACTTGGGAAACACATTAGCTTACTTAAAATAAATGTAATAAGTTAATATCACGTGGAAATCAAAAAAGATGTTACACTGTGTATCTTAATGAGAATTGTGAAACTTTGAAAATGTGCTTTGTTGTTGTTTCTTACATTATTGATGAATATACTACAACATGTTATCTTTATTTCTCATACAGGGGATACAGGAACAAGTAAATCATGTTTTTCCCTAGAAGACTTAGCAAGTGTATCCTTGCATGTAAGATGGATCTGGATGTAGCATACCAATGGGTCTTGGCTTTTTTTGCCTGTCTGTGTCTTTGGATTGGGGGATTTAGTAGATTTAAATTTAGAATTAATAACAATATATATGAGTTTGATGCTGTCATTTAATGTTGGCTGGCTGTTTTGCCAGTTAATTTATGCAATTTCTTGATTATGTTGATGTTCTTTATTTTTTGGCATTTTTTAGAAAGGCTGATACTGGTTGTTCCTTTCTATTTGTAGTGGTTCTTTCAGAAGCTCTTGTAAAGCAGGCCTGGTGGTGATGAAATCTCTGAGTGCTTGCTTGTTCGCAAAAGATTTTATTTTTCCTTCGCTTATGAAGCTTAGTTTGGCTGGATGTAAAATTCTGGGTTGAAAGTTCTTTTCTTTAAGGATGTTGAATATTGGCCCCCATTCTCTTCTGTCTTGTAGAGTTTCTGCTGAGAGATCTGCTGTGAGTCTGATGGGCTTGCCTTTATGGGTAACCTGACCTTTCTCTCTGGCTGCCCTCAGTATTTTCTCTTTCATTTCAACCCTGGTGAATCTGGCTATTATGTGCCTTGAGGTTGGTCTTCTTGAGGAATATCTTTGTGGTGTTCTCTGTATTTCCTGGAGTTGAATATTCTCCTGCCTTGCTAGGTTGGGAAAGTTTTCCTGAATAATATCCTGAAGCGTATTTTCCATCTTGGATTGATTCTCTTCGTCACATTCAGGTACACCTATCAAATGTAGATTAGGTCTTTTCACATAGTCCCATATTTCTTGAAGACTTTGCTCGTTCTTTTTTATCCTTTTTTCTCTAATCTTGTCTTTTTGTTTTATTTCATGAAGTTGGTCTTCGACCTCTAATATCTTTTCTTCTGCTTGATCAATTCGGCTGTTAAAACTTGTGCATAGTTCGCGAAGTTCTCGTGTTGTATTTTTCAGCTCCATTAATTCACTTATATTCCTCTCTAAATTGTGTGTTATTTTTAACATTTCGTCAAACCTTTTTTCAAAGTTCTTAGTTTCTTTGCATTGGGTTAGAACAAGTTCTTTTAATTCCCAGAAGTTTCTTATCATCCACTTTTTAAAGTCTGCTTCTGCTAACGGAACACAGTCTTTCTCCATCAGGCCTTGTTCTGTTGCTGGTGAGGAACTGTGATCCCCTGTGGAGGGAGAGGCGTTCTGAGTTTGGGTATTCTCAGCCTTTTTAGGCTGTTTTCTTCCCTTCTTTATAGATTTATCCATCTGTGGTCTTTATAATTGCTGTCTTTATAGTTGGGTTTCTGAATAGACGTCCAACTTGTTGATTCCCGGCGCTAGAATCTGAGCAACCCTCTGCGCCGGCCAAAACAGCGGCGTTAAGATTGATGGTGCTTTTCTGACTCTGCACCAAGAACCATCGCTCCAAGGCAGCGGCAAAACCACCTCACCGGCCTCAAGAGTCGCGCTGGTGACACGTGGGGCTCCTCCGCTGGGAATCTCCTGGTGGGTGAGCAACAAAAATTGATCTGAAAGTGTGGCGTCCTCTCGTTCTCTTCTCTTTCAGTGGGAGCTAGAATCCTGAGCTGCTAGTGATCAACCATCTTGGATCTCTCTCCCGAGATCCCATTTTGTTATTTGTCTGCTGGTTGTTTTGCAAACTTCTCTATTCCTTCCTTCCTATCTTCCTTTTAGTGTTGCTGACTTTCTCCAGTGATATGCTTTAGTTTGCTTTTTATTTTTTGTGTAACTGTTGTATGTTTTTCAATTTCAGGTTACCATGAGCTTATAAATAGTATCTTTTAACCCATTGTTTCATTTTTATTTTTATGTATTTATTGTTTTTGAGATGGAGTCTCACTCTGCTGCCCAGGCTGGAGTGCGCTAGCACAATCTCTGTTCACACAATCTCTGCCTCCGGTAACCCATTATTTTAAACTCATGAGAAGTTAACACAGATTGCATAAACAAAGACAAATAGAAAACTAATAAGAACTCTACACTTTAATGGCATCTCCACAACTCTTAATGTTTTGTTGTTTCTCTTTATGTCTTATTGTACTGTGTCTTCAAAAGTTGTTGTATTATTCTTTTTGATGGATTTATCCTGTAGTCTTTCTACTTGTCAAGAGAAGTTCACACACCACAGTTAGTATTATACTAATCTGTGTTTTTCTGTGTGCTTACCGTTGGCAGTGAGTTTATTTCCTCTCACATGATGTTTTCTTGCTCACTAACGTCTTTTCTTTCAGAATGATGAATTCACTTTAACAGTTATGGTAGGACAACTCTGGTGTTGATGAAATTCCTTGGGCTTTATTTTTCTGGAAAGGTCTTTATTTCTCCTTCATGCTTAAAAGATATTTTTGCCAGATATGCTATGCTGTGGAAGAAGTTTCCTGTTTTTTTTCTTGTTGTTTTTGTTTGTTTTCCTTCAGCCCTTTAGATATACCATGTTTCTCTCTTGGCCTGTAAGGTTTCCACTGAAAAGTCTGCTGCCAGATATATTGGAGCTCCATTGCATGTCATTTGTTTCTTTCCTCTTGCTGCTTTTAGGATCCTTTCTTTATCCATGCTCTTTGGCTGTTTGATTACTAAATGCCTTGAGGTAGTCTTCTTTGGGTTACATTTGCTTCATCTTCAATAAGCTTCTTGTACTTAGATATTGATATCTTCTCTAGGTTTGGCAAGTTCTTTGTTACTATCCCTTTAAATAAATCATTTAAATTCTTTCTACCCCCATTTCTTTCTCTACCTCCTCTTTAAGACCAATAACTCTTAGATTTGAAGCTATTTTCTAGACCCTGTAGATTTGCTCCATTTTTTAAAAAATATTTTGTCTCCTTGGATTGTGTATTTTCAAATAGCTTGTCTTCATGGTGACTAATTCTTTCTTTGGTCTGAGCCTTTCTGCTATTAAAGGACTCTAATGCTTTCTTTATTATGCCAATTGCATTTTTCAGCTCCAGAATTTCTGCTTGAATGCTTTTAATTATTACAATACCTTTGTTAAATTTATCTGATAGAATTCTGAATTTCCTATGTGTGTTCTGTTAAATTTCTTTGACTTTTTCTCAAACAGCTATTTTGAATTTTCTATATGAAAGATTGTATATCACTGTTTCTTTAGGATTGGTTCCTGTTGCCCTCATTAGTTCATTTTGTGAGGTTGTGTTTTTCTGGATGGTGTTGATGCACATGTTCTTCAGTTTCTGGGCATTAAAGAGTTGGGTATTTATTGTAGTCTTCACAGTCTGAGCTTGTTTGAGCCTATCCTTTTTGGGCTGTCTTTGCAGGTATTTGAAAAGACATGGGCCCAAAGCCAAATAATACTATGGTTTTTGTGGACTCACAAAGATATTGTGTTGGTGGTCTTGGGTATGATCTTGAAAAATTCTCTGCATTAACAGGCAGAGAACTTGGTTCTTTTCCCTTACTCTCTCCCAAACATATGGAGTGTCTCTCTCTGTTCTGAGCTACCTGGAAGTGAGGATGTGTTGATGCAAGCACTCCTGTGACCACTAGATGGACTGCTCTGGATCAGATCCGAAGCCAGTACAGAACTTGCGTTGCCAAAGGCCCTTCCCTTCATGGTGGTGAGTACCCCCAGGCCCTGGGAATGTCCAGAAATGTTTAAACTCTTAGTCGTGTACCTGATGTTCTATTCTACTGTGGCTAAGCTGGCACTGAAACCATGATATGAAGTTAAAATCAGGTACCATGATTGCTTACCTCATTTTTTGTTCTTGTGATGCTGCTTTTCTGTGTGTAGATAGTTGTTAAAATTTGGTGATTTAATAAGAGGGACAAAAGGCATAGGCTTCTATTCTTCCATGTTGCTCTACTCCCTGGTTATTTCTTATAAACAGCACATAACTACTCTTTTAAAAAATTAAATCTAACAATCTCTGTTTTAAATGGAATGTTTAGTCCATTTACAATATTTTGTGTTTTGAGCCTGCAATCTTACTGCTTATCTTTTGTTTGTCCAGTCATGTTTCTCCACTTTTTCCTTCTTTTCTGCATTCTTTTTTGAATCAAATATTTCTTAGTCTTTTTTTTAAAATTTGTTAATTTGATTTTTGGTGTGTCTTAAACTTATTTCTTTATTATCAAGAATTTTAAAAAATACATACTAAACTTACAATGATCTTTTATTATTTTATAATTACATTTGAAATTAATTTTAAAACAGTTAAAGAGTATTTACTCTCATTTTATGTGTTTGTGTTGTCACATTTTAAAATCTAGATGCATATAATCCCTATACCAAAACATTTGTATTTTGTATTTCATAAAGCCAGTTGCCAAATAAAAGCCCGAAATGCTCAGCAAAATATTTCCAGTATTTCTGGCCATAATTCTAACGTCTTGATGATCTTTGGTATGTTCTTGGGAAGATTACAATTTTAGTTCTAAATTTATCACTAGGCAGACTTCCCCTGAGCACACCAGAAGTCTCCTTATAAAATATATATGAATTCCATAAAAAACACAATAAGTCCAGGAGAACCACATTCAATAACATTTTCTGTTAAAATATTTATTGTGGGCCAGGCCCAGTGGCTCATGCCTATAGTCCCAGCAATTTGGGAGGCTGGTTGGGGGGAGAATCCCTTGAGCTCAGGAGCTCTAGTACAGCCTGGGAAACATAGTAATGTTTTGTCTCTATTAAAAATCAACAAAATTAGCTGGGCATGGTAGCATATGCTTGTATTCCCAGCTACTCAGGATTTTGAGGTGGGAGAACAAATTGAGTACAGGCGTTACAGTGTTCATACCTTTATACTCCAGCCTGAACAACAGAGTAAGAACCTGTCTCAAAAAATAAATAAGTAAATAAAAATATTTGCTTCGCTATTGCTTTTTGATACCCAGTAATGGAGATAAAACAAAATTAATTGCAAACTGTTTCCCCAAATTATAATCTAATCCAAAATTTTCAAACACATGGCTTGGGTCAATTATATTAAATATTACATATTACTGTAGAGAGAAATATATATATCGCATGTATCTATTAAATATACATATATTAATTAAATATGATAACATAATTATATAACAAAACATAATTATATAACATTATCTAATATATATTATATATATTGCATGTATCTATTAATTATACATATATTAAATATGATAACATAATTATATAACAAAACATAATTATATAACATTATCAAATATAATTATATTAAATATTTGGTATTAAATATGTATTATTTTACACATATATACTATCTATACTGTGTGTGTATATATATACACACATACTGTGTATGTGTGTGTGTATATTAACTACAATACTAAAAATAATATATATTCTATGTTTGTAAATGAAAGAGATAGTTAAAATTATGTGTTTTTTATAGTATGAAGGGAAAACTAACATCAAAGTTGAGAAAACACAGCTCACTGCAACCTCCATCTCCCAGGCTCAAGTGGTCCTTCCACCTAAGGCTCTCAGATAGCTGGGACTACAAGTACTTTTCACCATGCCCAGCAATTTTTTTTTTTTAATTTTTAATAGAGACAGAGTCTCACTATGATGCCCAGGGTGTTCTAGAACTCCTTAGCTCAAGAGATTTGAAGTTAGCATCTATTTAATGCTCATCGATTTAATGCTCATCAGTATAATGCTAAATCAATGTTATGAAAAAAATGCATAGAGATTTTAATATGTACTCTTTTAAAAATATGTTGTTTTGTCAGTCATTAAAATTCCTCTGAGAAGCTTATAATGGACAGGATTAGGAAACTAGATATAGATGGAAATACTGAATTCAAACAAAATATTATTTGCTTTCATACTCATTGTTTAATGCAATTTATTTAGTAATTTTATTTTGTCAACTTTTTTTTTCTTTTTCTGATTTTATGCTGCTTTTCCCTTTCAGTATTACAAACAGGATCTCTTTAATGAACTGCTTCTTCCTCTTGAATTATTTTCAGTGAATTATAGAGTTTTCATTAACATCCTGATTTAAATTAAAACAACTATATAATTTTAGAAAATTTAAGAAAAAAAAATTGAAGAATATTGTCTCAATTATCATAGTTAATTTCATCAAATTCCTTTTTCCATAATTCACAAATTTAATTATATCTTTATTTTACAGTAAGATTTCATTATTGTTATGTTTGTAACAAACAATATTTGTTACATTATTGATAATTAATGTTACATTGATCATTAACAATAATGTAACAAACATTTTTAATTAATACTGTTTGATATTTAATGTTACACTAATAATAATTTTTAATAAACATTCCAGTGCAATAATTAACCATTTAAATGATTGGTTAAATTATGTAATCATTTAAATAGTTAATTATTGCACTGGATATTTGTTAATTTAGCCAATTATTTAATTATTTAAATTACATATTGCACTGAAATATTTAGCCTAACTAAATTCTTCTTTTATAAATTATAGTATAAATTTATTATTTGGTTACTATTATCAATGCCATACTATAAGTTATGAAATAAAAAATTGAAGTAATAACAGAAAGAGATTTACACAATTCTGATATATCTTCTTTTGTTCTGGTTTATAATTTTTATAAAAGATGTGATTAAAAACAATCTCAATATATTAAATAGTCATTTTTATCACTACATATGGGGTACAAATGGGGTACATATGAAAAGAGGTACATATGGTAAAGTCTAGAAGAACCCATGTGCAAGCAGCTCGTTATTCCTTCTCAGAGGAATCTCATAGGGATAAGTTTAATTCTCCCAGCAATGATATGTGACATTTGCAAAGTATTGCCAATTAGGAAAGCTCACCTTAATCCTGCCATTAAGGGTATTTATTAGTGGCCTGTCTTGTAGACATGCAGAATCTGCAAGACTGACTTAACTATTTCTTTCCAGCCTCCCATAAGTCCAGCTAATACAGCATGGCACGGGGCCTCAGGCATACAAAAATGGTTGCTCACCATAAGTCACACTGGTAGAATAAAGTATCTGGCCAAGTTAATAGACGTGACCCAAAGTCTCAGGCAGACAAAAATACACTCACCAGGTGTTGTATTCCAGTGACTCAGAGGTTCTCTTTCAGAAGGTGGTCAAGATCCAGTCCTTTCTTTGGAATGTGCAGAATTTGAGTAACCAGTCCTGCTCTGTTAACCTTTTAGGGCATAGTCACAAAGTTCCCAGTGTTAGTCAAGGCTCCCCAGAGGGACAGAACTAAGACATACGTATATATGAAAGGGAGTTTATTAAGGAGAACTGGCTCACGTGAAATCCCATGGGAAGGCTGTCTGCAAGCTGAGGAGGTAGGAAGCCAGCAGTGGTTCAGTCTGAGTCAAAAAGCATCAAAAGTGGGGAAGCCACGAGTGCAGCCTTCAGTCCTGGTCAAAAACCCGAGAGGCCCTGCAAACCCCTGGTGTAAGTCTGGGTCTAAAGGCTAAGAACCTGGAGTCTGATGTCCAAAGGGAGGAAGCCTCCAGCATGGAAGAAAGACGAAAGCCAGAAGACTCAGCAAGCCAGTTAATTCCACCTCCTTCTGCCTGCTTCCTTCTAGCCCTGCTGGCAGCTGACTGGATGGTGCCCGCCTGCATGCAGGGTGGGTCTTCCTCTCCCAGTCCACTAACTCAAATGTTAATCTCCTCTGGCAACACCCTCACAGACACACCCAGAAACAATACTTTACCATCTAGCTAGGCATACTTCAATCAAGTTGATACCTAGTATTAACCATCACATTCCCATATGATATTTTTAACTATTATTGACAGTACTTCAAAATTAACTGCGATTATGAGTTGCTAAGATTTAGGTCTCTAATGTTGGTCATATGTTGGTCTATTTTTGATGGTAAGACTGCTTTTTAAAAATTGACCTGGCACACTGCCGCACTACTCACAAAGCAAAGACATGGAATCAATCTAAATGTCCATCAGCAGTACACAGGATTAAAAAAACATGTGGTGCATATACACTATGGAATACTACACAACCATAAAAAAGAGTGAGACTGTGTTCTTTGCAGCCATATAGATAGAGTTAGGGGCCTTTATCCTAAGTGAAGTAACACAGGAACTTAAAACCAAATAATGCAAGTTCTCACTTACAAATTGGAGCAAACTATTGACTATACATGGACGATAAGAAGGGAATGACAGCCCCTGGGGCCTACTCTAGGGTGGAAGGTGGGAGGAGGGTGAGGATTAGAAATCAACCTGTGACATATTTGGTGACAAAATAATCTGTATGCCAAACCCCTGTGACACACAGTTTACCTATTGAACAAACTTGTACATGTACCAGTGAATGTAAAGTAGAAGTTAAAAATAAAATTGAACAAGCAATATTCTTAGGCAAGAAATATTAATTAGGAACTAAATAAAATGGAGGAGAACAGAACTCTGAGAAAATGGTTCCAAAGGTAATTCAGGTGAATTCAGTAAAAAAGTTTGGTTCATGTATTGTTTCTTAACTGCTTTACTCTCTGGGTAAATTTGGTTTGTTGTAAACAGTGGGTGACTGAGTGGTAGGGTGTGCAGGGTGGCAAATTTATTTTATTTCAACTTATTATAAACCTTTTCAAGTTCTTCTTCCTTTTGTTGCATTCAAGTTAAGTATGTTATGCTACAATGATAAAAACCCATTAAATTCTCTTAGCATAAAACATCAGTATTTAAAATTTGCTTCTGCTGCATACCTGGTACAG